GGTCCTGCCTGAAACACCGCAGCAGATGGGCTCAGGTTGACCTGAGCCAGGTGCTAAGAATATCTGCCATTTAAGTGATCAGGGCTTTATCACCACTTCCATTAATTTCAGCTGAGTTTAAATAAACCCCAGTGAGCTCAGTCTGTCCCAATCCACCTTTGTGAGATCCTTCTGAGCTGTACTCCTTGCCCAGCCCTTCCACGTGCTCTGTCATCCTACTGGAATGCTTGTTCCCTCACCATTTTGGTTACATGGATGGAAAACAGTATTCCAGTAATTAGTCACTGCTAGATGGTTTGATCATCAACTAGTTCTTTCAAAAACTTCGTGAATAAATGCATATTTTTACATAAATAAAGCAGAGAGTGTCCCAGACTGGACATTAAGTAAATAAGTAAATATTGAAACCCAGGCTATATTATAAATGAAGAGCATCATACTACAATATGTTATTCAACTCATTGACATGCTAACTTATCACTATTAGTCATTACAAAAATTCATGGAGTGAAAAGTAACAACCTAAACCCAAAATTAAACAGTCACAGGTAAACTATTTCTACATTTGTCTACCTATGTTGTCTCTTTCCTTGAAATAAAGCATGCAGTCTCAAGACCTGACAACTTTATTAAAGCCCTTTAAAGCATTTTTGTATTGATTCTGAGACTAAGCTTGGGGCTTTATAACAAGCCATTTACAAGGCAACTTTATTAAAAGAAAAAAGTACAGCTATTCTTGCTGAACACCTCAAAAAAATCCGTTCCTCTTGTTGTGTGCTGAATGACACCTTGCATGACAAACAGTACTTGTCTGCGCATCCCACAGAACGGGAGGTGGGACAAAGCCCTGCAGTGCCCTTAAGGGACACAGGACACCGGAGAATGAGCCTGAAATTCACCTCCTTCCCTTCCCTTCCCTTGGCCAGAAGGCTCCAGCAGCAACCTGAGCACAGCAAACACCCAGACACGGCGTGAACCAGCACACAGGAGCACTTGGGGGAGAAGCTGCCAGAAACAGCCAGCTCTGCTCAAAGAAACTTGTCCCCTTTCTCTGACTTACACCAGGCGCAGCCTCGGTAATCTCAGTTATTTCGTGTTTGACTAGAATCATTGCTTATTCACTTTAGTTTTGTGCCCACAGACAGAAGCTAAACACACCCTGTTGGTTCCTTCTCTCTAATTACAGACCAGAAGCCACTTTTAAATGCTGAAAAGAGGATTACAGAACAGCTGCTAAGAGAGGAACATTTTGGCCATTAGCTGTGAAGGAAGCTCTTAGGAAAAGCTGTGCATACAGCCCTGCTGTCACAGGAGAGCCAGCTTTGACTTTGTTCCTTCTTTAAAGCACCAACAGACCTGAAGCCTCTGAACTGCAGGCCCTGTGCTGGAGAAGTCAAACCAGCAGCTTGGCTGCTACAGAGGAGAAGGTTTGTTTATTTTTTATAAAAGTGCTACTGAAAAGAGACTACACAAAACAAAGCTGATGAAGGGCACATTTTGACATGTCATAATTCCAAGGTATTGAGGTAAAGCAATGCTGTGGCGGGAAAAGGAACAGCCACAGGTTCTATTTAAATTCTGCTGTTTACCTATGAGTAATCTAGACAGAATCATTCCACCTTTTACACCCTCATTTTATTAACTGAAGAGGTAACGTTCAGCAGCAGCAACCTACACATGGTGTGCAGGAAATATCATATCATTACAGCACATTTATGCTGTCATATGTTATTATTAAGCGAAGAAAAACAGTTCCAAAGGAAAAATCCAATGTATGGAGCTTGTCCCTCTGCCTGCATATATGGAGCACCCTGCTGCTCAGCACCAAGAGACAGAACCTGGATCCTGTCTGAGGAGCCTCAGGAAGATAGGATGGTGCCAGAGGTGAAAGACAAACAACAACAGTTACTTCAAGTGATTTCCAAGTCTCTGCAGGTAACAATGATAATGATTTTTATTATGAGATAAGAGGGTTGTAAAACTCCTAATTTTTTAAGGCAGTGTTTTCTTCCGGATGAAAATGTTCTGGTTTTGTAAGAGTAGGAGGAAATCCAAGATCTATATCTTTACTATTCTCAAAATGCAAAATATAAAACTCTTTTTTTTTCGCAAGCACAAGACAGACTGTTGGTGAAGTCTGCTGTAACGGCCTGAGGAAGAAGTTACACTTCCTTATTGTAATACAAGATGATCTGAGCACAGTGCTTACAAACTATTTCACACTGTAACATCCTGTCAGCTCAGCAAACAATCATCCTGAAACTGTGCAGATGCTGGTTTAACAGATTATCCCCCTCTTTATAGAAGGTATTCAGCCTTTGACAGAACCGGTTAACTCCTCAAATGGCGTTTTAGACCCTGCGCTGCACAATTTGAATATTGACAGGTTTTGCTAGGGAAGGAGAAGCTCTTTGGCTCAGGCAGGTGCCGGCTTTCACCCGGAGAGCCTCGCGGGGTGAAGGAAGGTCTGTACGGCTGTGGCGGTGCCCAGGTGTCCGGAGCTGCCCGCGGGCTCAGCTGGTGGCGGAGAGCGAAGAACAGGGGAGGGCAGCGAGGGACAGCGGCTCCACAGAGCCTCCCTGACACCATCCCCACCATCCCTCTGCTGGCCCTGCGCACCTCAGCCCCCAGCCCGACCTCCCAGGGCAGTAAAACACTCCTCGATTTACACAAAAAGAGTGGGTATTTCTATACAGAAAAATCCCAAATGACACTTGCAATACGGAAGCTTTGCAGATGCTGAGTGCATTGTATTAATCTGGAACAAATCCAAGTAGTCTGGATCCTTTTTCCTTTTTATCCTTAGGAAGATAAAACGTAGCTTCAGCACAGACTGTAAGACTGCGGGAACAATAACTGGGTGAAATATTTCACCCTATATTTTACAAATGCCATAATAGGTTACAACAAGTAATTTTGCTAAGTTCTGTAACATTAAACCCAAGTCGAAGGTGGAACACAAGAATAAATCTAAGATTTCAATGTAGAGATTTTATTTTAATTCCATGGGGAATACTGTCTCTTTCTATGATTTTAATCTAAGAGCAACTGGCAATTACACAAACACCCACCTTGACATGAAACAGTGATCATCATCCCTAGGCTTATTCCTTAACCTAATTAGCTGTGCAGCAGCACCTGCTCTTTCACTTAGCACGGCCGTGAGGACACAAATACCGACACACATTAGGGAATACCCACACACATCAGGGAATGAAGCCTCTCCCTTGTTTACTCCTAACGGCGTTGGCATTAGCTTCATTAAGAAAAATTTAAGAACTTTAATGGCTGCTTTACAAGAACCCCAAGAACCCCCAATGACCCTAATTGCTGTTACTAATGGCTTCTGGAAGCAGAACTAACATGCCATAATGGCCATCAGAAATCCGTACTGGCTTACTGTTTTCAGAGAGGTATTCCACACGCCCCTCCGTGTCTGTTCCACACTTCTGGAGAGGGGACACTGTCCAGGTGTGGCCACTTTTGCAAAAACACCTCAACAAATTCTTTTTCCATCTACAGAGGATCATGAAAATCCTTCCAGATCAGGACTTAAGATTTGAAAGATCAGGATACCTAAACAAACAAACAAAAAATTTATTTATTTTTCACCTAGACACAAGCATTAAACCCTCCTGGAGTTTTTCTCTTGCTGTCCTGGAATCCTGCTTTAAAATAGTATTGGAAAGTGTTGTTATTAGCCTTCAAAATATATAATAGCTACAGAATTTCTTTATAGTAATTTTCCTTTTTAGACATAAAGACATCAAGTAAACAAGTTCTCCGGTTTTTGCTTTTTTTCTTTCTTCTTCTTTTTTTTCCCCCTTGAGATGAGTTCCTTTTAGAAGTTCCTAGGGCACTCTTTCCTATTAAAAAAAAAAGCCAACACCCCCCCCACCTCCCCACCAAACAAACAAAAAAAATCACCACCCTTTGAACTTCTCCACCATGAATTTCTACCAGAAGCAGGTACATTTACAGCCTATTTTCCACTATGAAGAAATTTTCATATTGCAGTGCCTAGATGCTTTATTTCCTATAATAAATCTCAACCACTTCAGAATCAAATCCAAAGTTTTTGGGTACATTTGTGCGGATTTTCCCCACCTTGTATTTGCATAGCACTTATCACAGCATTGTCTTGGGCCACAACCAAGCATGTCAGGCTCTCAATATAAATAAAATATAAGACATTTGACAGGAGAGAAACAGATTTCTGTGCTGAACCAAATTCAAACACTACACTGCATATTTACTTTGTGTGTCCAAAAAGGGTTTCAAAGTGTCTCTGCCCAGTTCTCAGCACTTGTGCTGACCACATCCTTACTGCTTATGACAGAAGTCTCAGGCTTTACAGACTTGAGTGTAGTCCTGAGTCGCTGGTGATGACATGTCCCTGTCCCAGATATCCTTCACCTGCCACTGGCAAACATCAGATCCCAGCAACAGACCCAATGCTGAACTACATGTTTTAAAGTGTTTTAACCCCTCTATTAACGCTAGTTATAAAAATGCCATAACACATCCCATGGAGATTAGAAATAACTCACCTATTCAGCAGTAAAACAAGACACAAACCAAACTTCTGCAAAAAGGAACAACGCAAACTCCTGATATTTCAAGTTCTCACTGGTATTTAAGTACCTCCTTCAGCAGTTAAAAACCCTATTGTGTTTAAAAAGTGCAATCCAAAAAAGATCTAAAATTCCCTCTACTAAAACCAAGCCAGCTTTTGGCTTTAGAGCGTAGAAGACCACCCCCAACTTCTCCATTCATGTGCCAATACTCAGGCCTCGCAGATTTACTAAATCCGCCTTTTCTGAGCGAAATAAACTTGGAGAAAAGGTTTACGGGCCTCAACATTTGTTCGCCGTTCCCAAGTGTATCAAGTGGTGCCATAAGAGGTAGTAAATAACCATTACACGGGAAACCTATCGAGCCTTCGGCTCCTCCTGCCGCGCTCCGCGACCCCCGAGCCCTCACTCCCGGGGCGCTCTCACCTGCGGCCGGCGAAGAGCAGCAGGCAGCGGCTCGGGGCTGGGGCTGGACCGGGCTCTGCTCTTCCTCCTTCTCCTCCTCCTCCTCCTCCTGCCGCCGCCGCCCGAGGTGTCTCTGGGGCCCGCGGAGCCTCCCCGGCGCGGCGAGGGCGGGACCGCGGCGGCATCGCCCCTCCTGCTCTGCCTCTCCTCCGACTCCGGGAGCGCCGCCGGCCCCGCCGGGGCACGGCCCGAGGGGCTGCCCCACATCGTCCGGGGCTCCCTCACATCGTCAGGGGCTCCTCACATCCTGAGGGGCTCCCGCACATCGTCCGGGGCTCCCCCGATCGTTAGGGGCTCCCCACATCGTGAGGGACTTCCCCCATCGTCAGCGCTCCCCCCTCAGCGCTGCCCCGCTCTGTCCCGCGCAGCCTGGGAGTCCGTGTGTCCCCCCATCAGCGTTCACGATGTGCAGCGGTGGAAACAAAATTCTGCCCGGGACTCTGAAAAATACAAAAGTTTACAGCCACTTTTTTACATCTGGCCGCTGCCGTGGTGGTTCTGGCAGGGCTCCCCACCTCGTCACAGGCATTCAGCACCCGGGAACCAGGGACCTGGCCGGGCTGCACATGAGAGACGCGGCCGTGGCATCCCACAGACCCGGCATCCCACAGCCCCGGGCTCCCTGTGCCCCACTGAGGGACCCGGCTGTGCCACCCCACAGTCCCGGGCTCCCTGTGCCCCACTGAGGGACCTGGCCGTGTTACCCCACAGCCCCGGGCTCCCTGTGCCCCACTGAGGGACCTGGCCATGTTACCCCACAGCCCCGGGCTGCCTGTGCCCCACTGAGGGACCTGGCCATGTTACCCCACAGCCCCGGGCTCCCTGTGCCCCACTGAGGGACCTGGCCGTGTCACCCCACAGCCCTGGGCTCCCTATGCCCCACTGAAGGACCTGGCACTGCCACCCCACAGCCCTGGGCTCCCTGTGCCCCACTGAGGGACCTGGCACTGCCACCCCACAGTCCCGGGCTCCCTGTGCTCCACTGGGGGACCCGGCTGTGCCACCCCACAGCCCCGGGCTCCCTGTGCCCCACTGGGTCTCCCAGACTGTTCCCTGGGACCCTCACCGGGCTGGCAGTGATGCCTCAGAGCATCAAGCCTCCAACATATGGCCGCTAACTCAGACGGAGCCTGGCTCCACCACACCTCAAGTCCAATGCAAAGCTCACTGGAGGCAGCAGAAAGAAATGCTGATTTCCATGGATTTTTGGATTAAGCTTATCTGGTGAGCTGTTAGTCACTGGCAACCGCACACAGCCCATGGCAGGCAGGTGTGTGCCTGGCTACCTGCAGCCACAGCCGTGTGTTAGTCATCCATGGATGTAGCATGACCGCAGCAATACCTTAGTAACCAAATACAGTTTGTATTTGTGCCCTGCCAGCCAGCTGGTGCTTTCCCCTCTCCGTAGGCCCGAGGGATGTGCTGCAGGTGACTCTCAGAGGGAGCAGCAGCTCAGGGCACACATCACAAGCACGACTCTCTGAGCTCCTGTTCCAACATTGCTGGGAAAATGGGAAAGGCTATGTTGTCTGAGACTGCCCAGCTATTAGGATGATTTCAGGCTGAATTTTGGGAAGGAATTTAAATCCAGTTTCAGCTATGTGAGACAATAGATAAAGAATACAGCTGGAGAAGTGGTTACGTACCTGAGGCACAGGACTGAGCAGCAGGAGAGCTGGACTCTGCACCTCTGAACCCTGCCCTACAACGCTGCTACGTGCAGTCTTGGGCTAGGTACCTAATCATACCTTGGTCCTCCCATTCCTGTTTTGGACCTAGCGTCCAAAAGCACTCAGAAATTAGAGGAGCATTCAGATGGAAGTAGCACACAGGCTGCTTAGACCATTTCTTAGGGGAAAGAAGAAGGATCTTCCAGTAAAATTATTGTTTAAAAGAATTGTCTTCACTGGACGTTGGATTAGATAATAACATTTTAAAAACTGCAGGAAATGGAAAATACATTGTTCTGCTGAGATCATAAATGGAGTAGTTTCAGAACAGATGGACTCTATTTATCACTTCATCAGAATTTTGTGGACCTTCCGAGTACACAGATTGCTTAACATTATTTCTGTATACCCACAAAAAGAATTTGCTATCCCAGAGTAAGATCTAAAATTCCTGCATGATTCAACACGACTGCTGACGTTGTAGGGCTTTTTAATGGCAGCAGCTCCAAAGCATTCCAAGTGCTTTATGTACACTGTTGTGTAGATTACTCTTAAACTATCAGCAATTACTGTAACATCTTTTTAGCAAAAAAAAAAAAAAAAAAAAAAAAAAGGAAAAAAACCCAATATATATGGAAATGAATATCCAGCTCCCTGCCTCCTGCACGTGTTCCATACAGACTTCCCCTGCTCTTTTTAGTGCTGCTGAGGTTTCTCTCAGCGCCGGCAGCCGAGGCACAGCCAGGGTGGCTCTCACAAGCAGGTGCTACCACCCCTTACTGGAGAGCAGCTGGCACTGCCGAGAGCGCCGGTGCACTGCTAACGCCACCACCCAGCACGGGGCTCTGTCCTGGGTGAGCAGTGTCACCATCTCACCTGTGCCTTTAGTGGCTTAACTTTTTGCCCTTGTAAATTAATCCAAAATAAATTTCCTATGCATATGAGGTAGCTGTAAAAGTCAGATACTGTGGATATGTAGTCCTTCATTGGAGGTCCTTCTGAAATGCCCAAATTTGAGTACAGCACAGGGTTGTATTTGCTTCTGTGAAAGTTTTCTTCACAGACAAGCAACCTTTATTATTTTCAAGTTCTTGCTTAGAAAATATCCAACAGCTCTACAATGATATGAACATATTGAGCGTATGAAGTCAGAGTATTAAGCACACAAATCCAATCTTTCTCAAGATTTAACTGGATAACAATATCATAAATACTTTTAGAGATTTTGTTAAAATGCAACATATTTTCTGATAAAAATCTAATAAAACAAAATTTTTAGTTTTCTGTGTAAATTATTTGTAGAGAGGATGTTTAAAACAAATGTATCTGCGAAGTGAGTTAAAGAGCATTACAGGAGCCTGTTTTGTACAATTCAGATGTGTGCTTCAGTCTAAATTGCTGCAATATCCAGGGTCATGAATCATTATGAGACAGAGAAAGATCACAATTTTAAAAAGAAGCAGAGATAGAAAAACACAGTAAACTTCAAGTATAATTCTCATGTGAGGGGTTTACATTTTTCTTAGAAAGTCACCATGGGTTGAACCTGCCTTCAGTTTGTGTGTTCATTATTTATTTAGTTCTAAATAATTTTATTTGCAAAATGTATCAACACTCAGATTTTCAGTAGTTCCCATAAATGAGTCAGTTAGGACTCATGAAGTGGTTGCTGACCAAATAAATATGTGACAAAAGCAAATCAGAAATATATTTATAACCTCAGAAAGTATTCTTTTAAACCTTTAGGAAAAATCTGAAAATTATTATAGAGCAGACTCTTTTGTGGGGTAGACATTATACAAAGTACCACAATATGTGAAGTTGTACTTGCAAAATTAGCAGTAGACTTTTAATATATTCACTCCTTTTAAATACTCCTTTGAGGTCCTGGAACATGACAGCATGGGTAGGGTAGCATGCTTTACCATGCTGCCTTTTTGTAGTTCCTCAAATACCCAGAAACCGTGACCAAGACAACCATAATTTCTGTTTTTCATCACTAGTTTCATGATTCTGATTCAGAAAGACAGAAATGAAATATTTTAAATGAACTCTACAGTAGGAAGTATTTATTAGAAAATTGTTTGTTTGTTTGTTTTGGATGAGATTTAGCATCTATTTACCAGTGTGCATCCGCACACACTCCACTCTCTTTGGCCACTGATCAATTTAGAGAATGAGACAAACAACTTGAGTAAATTATTTGCTATTTCCTGTAAAGATATCTAATAATAGAGCAATCCCAACCTGCTAGACACGACATGCTTAGGAAGGATGTAGGAGGACACTGTTTTGAGCTGCTACATTGCTGTCACCCTTATTTTCAGGGCAATATTAGAATCAATTGCTGAAGACTCTAAGGTTTATGCTGCTAAATGCATGAGAATCTCACTGCATCAGTCTGGCCAAAGAGAAGACAGAGTCTCACTGCTGTATTGTGGTTTGCACTTTTGGCTTTTGGATTAATTGACCAAACTTTGGGGAATAATTTGCTGCTTTCTCTAAGCAGAGCAATAGATGTCGTACATGTTTCTCTGGGGACATGAAAGCTATTCAGCTCTCTTGTTATTTGTTTTAAAGTTGTCAAAGACTCTTGGCTGACTTGGAAATATGATTGTGCTTTCCAGCACTCCAGCCTTCATTAAAGTTAGTGGGACAACAAAGAAAGAAAGACTCAAGTGAACAGTTTAGCTCAAGCTCACAGCACTGGGAAATGATAATTGGGGAAGGTACCAAGAGTGCAAAAAAGTGTGTGACTGAGGAGCCTATGCAGAGTTTCTAAAGGAACTGAAGGACTTAGGAATACAAGTCCCATCACTTGCAGCTCCAGAACCTGGGCTAGGAAGTTGTGTTTGAATTCTTGGACAAACAAACAAAAAACCACCTGCATCTCCTCTCCTGTTCATGCTTAAGATTCTATCTATTTTCAGAACAAGAAAATGCACTATTCCTTGAACAATCTGTGGCTGGTTAATTGCTTTAACCTTTTTACCTGACTTGCAGGTGTGATTTGTACTGAACCAAGGGCTATAGATCAGCCTGAACTTTAAATCTTTCTGTATACTGAAGCTGACCTGTAATAAAATGGAACATTTTCTTCTAGAAATTTAATTACTCTCAACAACGACAGAGGACCCAATCTGTGGCTTCCTAGAAAACTGTTAGATGGTCTTTATTGAGGAGTCACTCTTTTTATTAATTGGTAAGTTACACAAGAAAGGAAAATAAATGAAAAGAAGCCATTTCCCTATTAGGGGCCCTAACACTGCAGGTGGAGCTTGTCACAAAATGGAAGATGCTATTGATTGAAGAACACAGAAAAGAACAGATCGTTTTATGTTCACAGTAAATGATAAAAC